TGGCTCTTGTCACATTTATTGATAATTATTGAGAGCTTCTTAAAGATGGGACTATTTCCTTTTCTTTTCTTTCTTTCTTTCTTTTTTTTTTTTTTTGTTTTAGAGACAAGGTCTTGCTATGTTGCCCAGGCTGGACTTGAACTCCTGGGCTCAAGCAATGCTCTGCCTCAGCCTCCTGAGTAGCTGGGACTACAGGCCATGCCACTGTGCCTGACTGGGCTATTTTCTATTTATCTTTATGAGCCCCAGGCCTAGCGTTATTAAATAAGTGAGGGAATTGTAGCATGGTAGAGTAAGGAAAGAAAGGAAACAGGAATGCCCCTGGTAAGGCCCCTCTTCACCTTGTGGAGGGGGCACCTTTTCCATAGATATTTCTGTATATAAACCAGGCCCCAACCTATGTGGTATCAGGACTGCAGTTGTGGGCCAGTCACTCCCTGGGCACACTGTCCATGACTGTGTAGGCCTCACTGAACCTATACTAATGACAACTTTATAGCTAACATGGATATAGTGCTCAGTATATACTATACTAAGTACTATTCTAAGTACTTAACATATAATAACTCATTTTATGTCAAAGAACCTTTGACATAGGTATTAGTATGGGTCCTATTTTATAGATGAAGAAACTAAAGCCCAGATCACACAGCTAGTAAATGGAAAAGCTAGAATTTGATCCTAGACACTCGGGCTCCAGAGTCTATGCTTTAACCATTCCAATCTTCCTTTCAGTCTGTGTGGCAAGGAGGATGGGACTGTGTAGAGTAGACTGTCTTCCTTTAGTCAGGGCATCCCCTTAGCACTAAGAATGAGGTAGCCACTGAAGCCATGTCCGTTGCCCAGTGGAGGAGGAGAGGTATAATTTCAATGTTGGGGAGGCAATCACATGTCTATTGGGTACTTGTGAGAATCAGATGAGCTCATGGATCTGAAGACTTATGTTAAGAACTATAAAACCCCCTACAAGTCTTCTTTTTTGTCACCCAGAGTCCAGCCAGAGCAGCCTGTAAAGCTCTGCTGGTCATTCAGGAAAGCAGTCCCTTTTGTCCCTCCCTCTTAAGACCATGGGCATGAGCCTTGAAGGTTCTACTTTCTGATTTTTTCCCTTTGTTTCCCCTTTTTACCCACCCAGCTCTGTCCTACTTATCTGATCTCCTGGGTCCCAGCCTACCATTGTATCTATTGTGCTACCCACAGCTCCAACAAGTAAGGTCAGCCAGCTAGAGATAATTCATGAGCTAGGATACCCCTGGGGTAGGAGGAAAGGGAGGAGGTTAATACGCAGACTGATGCTTGGGCCTGCAGGAACAGAGCAGCCTCCCAGAGGGCCCATCTCTACCTCCAAGCCCTAGTCATGCTCTTTTCTCTGCAAGCTGTGAGAGGTCATTGACTCCATCGCTGACCCTGGGTAAGACACTTCTATTCTGGGTCCAGGCTTCCTCATTTTTAAAAAGAATGGGTTGATAAGTTGATATTTGTTGAGGCTGGTGATGGGTATCCATGATCTCACTATATTGCTTTCTCTACTTTCCATAACAATTTCCATAATAAAACATTTTAAAAATACCAGATTGGATTAAATCAATAGATTTTAACTTTTTTTTTCCAAACAATAGAACATTTTCTCCAACCAAAATCTTGCAGCAGGCTGTTATGTAAATGAAATAAAGGTGGATCTACTCTGGTTGGAGGGAAGCCAGACCCCCTGCCATCACTCCCCCTTCTCACTCACTCAGGGAACATAGTTTAATGTTTTAAAATCACTGGACCAGACTAACTCTAAGGATTCTTCTGGCACTTTTGCCTTCCTCTAGCTATAGTGGCTTTGCACTGGCCATTAGCCTATATATCCTGTCCCAGAAACAGTGAGACTGGGCTATTAATCATCTCCACAGTCTTTGGAGAATTTGCTTGAAGGGTTGCAGAAACATGTGTTGCTGTTAGAGATGCATTTCAATGTCTGTCTCTGCTAAGTGTTTATTAATAATCTTGTTAATCCTCACTCTAGTTCCCAGATCTAGCTAACACCTTCAGATGTCCTTGGGGGGCATTTTAAATTCTCCCTGATTTCTTGGACCCAGACACTTCCTTCTGCCTGGAGTCCTTTCTGATACTTACATTCATGAATATTTTACATTTAATCTCCTGATTATATCTCCATGTGATGGTCATGTTGCATTGGCTGCATTTCTAAGGAAAGACATACAGGAAGTCCACAGTAAAGGCTTAATTTTGCAGTCACAGTGCCAGAGATCTTTGTGCTTACCATTAAGATGGCCTTCTATCATGGACAGTGTCAGGGGAGATGCTGAATTGTGGGCTTTGCACAGGAACTCTCACCCTGGCTCATGGCCCAAAGGAGCTGGCATTTCACTCAGGATCAAATACCACCAGGAACTGCCCATTGGGCTTTGAGGACCACATATGGGTCCCTATGACCAGAGTTGTTTCCCAGGCTCTGTCCTTCCTGCACAGTCTACCTCCAATATTACCATACCTCCAGCCTAAGAGAGGAGATTCTGATGAACTGGTCTGCTCTAAGGAGTAAAAAGTTAGCCCCAAATGCCTGGGGGCTTGTGATTTTTAAAATCATCCCCAGGGAAAGGACAGTGAAGCCTAACACTTTCATGTGATAGGTGGAATGGAGGGTTAAGGGGCAGATGCGTGATTGGAAAGCCACAGATTTAGAAGTCACTGGTATAAAAATGTCAATCCAGGCTGGGTGCAGTAGCTCATGCCTGTAATCCTGGCACTTTGGGAGGCCAAGGTGGGAGGATCACTTGAGGCCAGGAGTTCAAGACCAGCCTGGGCAAGAGCAAGAACCCCCATCTCTACAAAAAAAAATAGAAAAATTAGCCAGATGTGATAGCACATGCCTATAGTCCCGGCTACTTGGGAAGCTGAAGCAGGAGGATTGCTCGAGCCCAGGAGTTTGAGGTTGCAGTGAGCTCTGATGACACCACGGCACTCTAGCCCAGGAGAGCAAGACCCTGTCTCAAAAAAAAAAAAAAAAGTCAATCCAAGCTATAACAGACATCAAGGTTCCCCAAGGGGAGAAAGGAGGGCTGAGGGCAGGACCCTGCAGAGATGACCAAGGGCTGTGGGAGGACACAGAAATGGCCTTAGAGGTAAGAGATGAGCCAAGGGAGCACAGTGTCCTGAGAGGCATGGATAAATGGATGTGGTATGTGGCATGTGACAAACGCTACAGAAAAAGTGAAGGAATGTGATTGAGGAACTTGGAGATGTGCCAGTGCTTCCCTGGGAGAGTCCCACCAGCATGCTTATGGGATTTGCCCTTTGAAAAGCCCTCCCTCCAGCTGCTTTAGAGTGAGCACTCCCTGTAGCCCACTGTGACCAGAGCAGGTAGCAGCTGAGAAGCTGTTTCGCCACAGAGAGGCAATGTAAGCATCTCCAAGGCCATGCAGGGCAGGTGCTATGAGGAGTCTCCCAGGGAGGTTGCCGTGCCTGGGAAGATGAAGGATTAGAGAGGCTTGCAGCATGGGAAATTGCCTTAGATGCAAACACTATGGCACCTGACCTTTTGGGGCAAAGCCTCCTCCCCCGGCCCCCTCAATCATGGCTAAGGGATAGGGATCAGAGCAGAGGAAGGAGGCCCCGGTTCTGCCCTCAGAAACTTGCAAACCACTGTGGCAACACAGCCCATGCAGGGGCTTGTGCTCTGGATGGCCTCAAAGAACACAGACAAGACTAGGATTTCCCTTCCAAACATTCTAGACTTTTCCCTTTGTCCTTAGCGGCAGCATGTTTTTGTCCCTGCTGCCTCATTTTAAGGGAAACAGAAGCCCCCATAATGGTTATATTAATATATCCTAACCTCTCTGGGTCATCAGCCACCACTCAGATCCCTGGGCCTGACCCTGTGGCAGCATTCTACCTATCTGTCTGCTCTCTGCATCCCCAGAGGCCAAACAGGCAGCAGCCTCGGAAACCCACTGCAATCCTCATACCGTAGGCTTACCACTCTGCAGGGCCTGGTTAAAACGCAAAGATGGCTAGGGTGGCAGCACCCACATCAACGTTCGGTCATCAGCATCTCAGGGGAATGTGGATGACTCCCGCCCCTGACTGAGACAGGGTGGGCTAGTGCCCTGGATCTTGCAGCAGAGGAATGTGTTTTAGAGGAGGATAGCAAGGCTAGATAAGGACTCTGGGCTGCACAGGGCACAGCCCAGTGGGAGGAGGTTAGTGAGGAGGGCAGGGAGGGAGACTGAAAAGCTTGCAGACCTTGGACAATCCACAGAACGAATGCTTTCCTACCTTCCTTGTCATCTGCATGATAGTATCAAGTGTTTTGCACTTTGGGCAGCAAAGGACTAACTAGCCACCTGCTGATTTGTCATTATTTGTCTTCTCACCTACCATACACAGCAACCTTTCAGGTTCTCCCAGGAAACACTCTTTAGGATTCATCTGTGAACTAAAGAAGTCCGCATTAGAACTCTTTTTTATCAAGTGGCTACAGCTTTGAAGTCTGGCCTGATTTGGCCAGTCAGTTCTCTGGATCCTGTGAACTTGTCCAGCACTAGAAAACAGAAGAAGGCCCATCTCAGGGAGCACCTACTCTGAACTTAATCCAGACTTCAACTCTCAGGAACCTAGAAAGACCTTGCCAAACAAGCACACAGGAAGGGCCCAAGGAGAAGGGCCACTAGTAAGGGAGTTAAGAAAAGGAAGTCCCATGGGTTTAAGGAAATCACGGTGGCCTTTCTGGAGGAGGCTGGATCACAGGACTTTGAAGACAGACACCCAGCTGGGTGTCATTGGGACCAAGATCCTTGGCTTTTCTACCCAGCCCAGTGTCTTTGTCCCACGATGGATTCGTCTGCCCCACTCTCCCTGAATGCTCTGCTGCTACCAGTGGCGAATGCTCCCAACAGCTCAGAGGGCAGGAGGGAAGGCTAGCTTCAGGGCTGAGAGCAGCCCCCTGTATTCACTTCCTAACAACTCCTTGTCTCTCTGCTTTCTCCCCATAGGACCCAGCCGCCGCCTCCATCTCAGACGGAGACTGTAACGCCCGGGAGGGTGAGTCAGTAGCCATGAATTACAAACCATCCCCGCTCCAAGTGAAGCTGGGTGAGTGTGTCTGGGGTGATGAGGGAGATGCGGGGAGTAGACAGGTGCTCTGGGCTGGGTCTGCAATGAGGTGCCACAAATAAACCAACTCAGCCTAGATGATTCCAAGACTCAAGCCACCAAGTCATTGGCACTGCCAGGCACCTTATCTCCTGCAAGGCAAAGAGGACAGCCACAGTTCTCTGCAGAAGCCTGAAACTCTAGGTGGCATCTCTGAGGCCAAGAAGGTTGCAGGTATTCCAGGGGATAGCTGCAGGGGTAAAGGCATGGAACCCCAGAGAGAAGACTTGGTAGTCCTGTCAAACACTGGATTAGGCTGAGAGGAAGCTGCCTTAGAGGTGAGGTGTCAGTTGTTATGTCTGAGGGATGGAAAGGAATGAGGGTTCCAAACCCTAGAAGCTGAGCTTCTCACCCAATTCCAACTTCAGCCCATCCTGAGAATTTGGGGCCTGGTTGGCTCCTGCTTTGGAGTGTTTTCCCATAGTTTCTTAGAAAACCCAAATATCTCCCCCCTGTTCCAGGTCACTTTTCCCTTGGGGGTTTATCTCATGCCTACTCCAAAGTCAGTTTACTGTGCAGCGTGTTCTTTTGAAGTCACCTGCCTCCCAACAGCCACTGTCTCACTTCACCCTGAACACTGCCCCTCTCCCTTCAGGGACCAAAGTTTCACTGACTCAAGGTTGCTGTATGTAACAGACTTTTCTAAAAAAAAGTTGGTCTCATGAAGAGAAATCACAACACAGTGCATACAGGAAAGAGTTTACAGTGAAATACAGGTCATCACTATCCTTCAAAACTCCTCTGCCATCCCAGCCACCCTCCTGTCTATCTTCTCCCCAGGCTCCAGCTGCCCACAACATACTGGACCTCTCTTCGGCCCTAAGATCCTTTCCCATCTATCCGAAAGCCTTCTCCCTCTGCAGCTGCCAGGAGTCCTTTCCACAGAGTCCTGTTCTTTTTAAAATTTTTCACCTTGCTTCTCTTCTTCCTGACCACATCCAAGGGAGCCCCTCAAGCTGTTTTTCTAAAGAAGAGAGCAGTTCTCTCAGTGGAATTTATTCATCTTCCTAAGACATCAGACTCAAACTGTAGCCAGTGTGATGTGTTTATTATTGTTTCATTTAACAAGTATTTTAATGAGTAAGTTCTCCTCTACTCTCCCCCAACACATTCTCCTCCCCAGAGGTGATCGTCCTGAGCCTTTTTAGTTTTGTAGTTTTATTTGGTATTTTAACATAAGTAGCACCATATTGCACCCATTTTCTGTGCACATTTGCTCCCCCTTCCCCTTAACATCGTGGAGCCCCTTCCAATGTCAATATAGAGTGACTTCGTTCTTTTAAATGGTTGCACAGTAGTCTGTAGTTTGGTTTTTGCCAGTTTATTGTTTGCATTTTTTCACTATTTCAAACACTTTTAGCATGCTTTTAAAATAACATTATTTTTCTCCCCATTATGTTGCCACCAAAGCTCCTCATGAAAATTCACAGCGTCGTTCCAGTTGCACTAAGGACAATTACCACCAGGAACTTTAAGGCAAATTGCACCCCCTAGAGGCTTCGTGTGGTAATAGCAGCTGCCGCCTGCTGGAAAGACGGGGACAAAAAGCTGGAGTCAGATGAGCAGAGGCAAAGAAAGAGGGTCAAAGAGTAGGAGACGAGAGATTTGGAGGTCAGGGGAAATTTCACAGTGAGTCACAGTAGCTGGAAAGGCCCTTCCTGTCTTACTCGCTGGAACGCGTGGTTATTTTCTGAGCCAGGCTTCCCCCTGTCCCTCTCTCCACAGGTCCTTTCCATAGACCTGGGCTTTACTTGAGACGAGTAGGAAAGGGTAGATGGGCCTCCTCCAGGGCCCAGGCAGCTACTTCTGGTGACAGTTGTCACACACCAGACGGCAGGTCATCTGATGGCCAGCCCCGTGAACCTGGTAGGCCCTGGGGCGTTGGAGAACTCAGAAGCTGGCAGAGGAGTTGGAGCATCACTTAGGCGGCACAGGCAAATGGGCTACCCCAGCTTCCCGCTCCCTGCCCCTCACACTTCACAACCTTCAGTGGCTCCTTTTTCCTTCTGCATTAATCCCAAACTCCTTTGTCTGGCATTCAAGGCCTTCACACTTGGAGTTTGTAACCAGAGCGAATCTTCAGGCCCTTAGCACAGGACCTACCCCGATTGGTGACACAGATACCCGTTGAATAAATAAATGACTGAAAATGGATCCTACTTTTCTAACCTGACCTTTCTCCCTCTTTACCCCTCTATAACAACCAGATCCACAAGTATGTTCACTTCTAAATGCAATTTGTACACACTATTTTGTACACTCCTTCCTAGAATGCCCCCCTCTCCAGGTCATGGCATCACCTACAAGAAGCCCTCCCTGACTGCTCCATCTTTCTGTGATTATCTCTCTCTCTCCAGCCTTTCCCAGCTATCAAGCACACACCAACTGCCCCACATGGGAGTTGTAGCTCCTGGAATACAGGGGTTCAGCCCCCTCCTTCTGCTCACCACCATCTGCCTCAGCTTGTACAGGGCCAAGGACTGTCTCCACCAAGCAGCAAGGGCCTGGACTGGGGAGCCCTGCCTCAGTCCCTATAGGAGCAAGTGGTTTCACAATGGAAGCCTAGCCCAGGCTGCCCTGAGTGGTAAGGCAGGGTGGCCCTGAGGACAGGACACAGCTTCCTTCCCATGTTCTCCTGCAGAGAAGCAGCGGGAGCTGGCCCGGAAGGGCTCCCTGAAGAATGGCAGCATGGGCAGCCCTGTCAACCAGCAACCCAAGAAGAACAATGTCATGGCCCGGACGAGGTAGAGGCCCTCTCTAGCCCACCCGGACCCTGCCAGCCTCCCCCTCTTCCCTCCCTCTCAGGCCCAGCTCCTCTTTGAGAGGAGAGAGCCTCAGTAGGATCCAAGGTGGGGGTGGGGAGGAGGGAAGTGATTGGGGGGGCCCAGCCCAGCCCCCTGCCAGGTCTGTGTGCTCCAGTTGCCACTCCAACCCCCAAAATTCTTCATCCAGGCTGGTCGTCCCCAATAAAGGCTACTCCTCGCTTGACCAGAGCCCAGATGAGAAGCCACTGGTAGCCCTTGACACGGACAGGTGTGTACGGGGGCCTGAGGGCAGCTGGGCAAGCCACAGGAAGCTGTGTGAGCACAAGCGGGCTGTACAGGCCGCACCTGCTATATTGTTAGAGGAAGACTATTCCTCAGCCAGGATTTCTCCAAGGGTGAACCCAACAAGTCAGGGAGATTTGAGCTTAGAAAAATGAGGGGAAGGAAATGAAGAGAGTATCTAGAAGGAAGTTAAGGGTAGCAATTTATTTAGAAGGGTGGAGCTAGTGAACCTGTCTTTAAAAACCTGCGTTTGCACAGCAAACACAGTTTTGTTTTTGTTTTTGAGACAGGATCTTGCTCTGTTGCCTAGGCTAGAGTGCAGTGGTACAATTATAGCTCACCGCAGCCTCAAACTCCTGGGCCCGAGTGATCCTCCTGGCTCAGCCTCCCGAGTAGCTAGGACTACGGGTGCACCACCACGCCTGGTTAATTTTTTATTTTTTATTTTGTAGAGATGGGGTCTTGCTTTGTTGCCAGACTGGTCTTGAACTGCTGGCCTCAAGTGATCCTCCCTCCTTGGCCTCCCAAGTGCTGGGATTATAGGCGTGAGCCACGGCACCTGGCCACAGTTTTTGTTTAGATTGTGCTCCTTATTTGGAACCGCGAGGGAGGGGTGGGGTGCTGACTGATGGGGAGGTGGGGGTGCAGGGAGTTTTCTATTTAATTTTTTCTGTTTAATTTCCCTGAATCACTTCTCTGTCCTTTTTCCTCCACGGCCAGCGATGATGACTTTGACATGTCCAGATACTCCTCCTCTGGCTACTCCTCTGCTGAGGTGAGCCCCTACCCCTTCGCCCCTAGACACGGCCGGGCAGGATCGCCTCTGTCGAGGGGAAGGGGTGCGGCCTGGGCCAAAGCACACCCTGAGGGGAGGACTAGGCAAAGCTGGGCGGAGTCCCATGCGGGCGCGGGCCCGGGATAGGCTGGCGTCGGCAAGAAGTCACGCCCCCGGCGCGGGGAGCCCAGGGTTACGAGCGCAGCTTCAGATTGGAGCCGGGCTCTTCGATAGAGTGGGGCGCCAACGACAGGCGACGCGGTGTAGGAGCGGGCCTGAAACAGAGGCAAAACTCGGATGGAAGCAGGCCCAGAGGTGAGACTTGACTTCAGAGTGGGGAGGGGTCTGCGGCAGGGCAGGGACACACGACGACGTGCCAGTAAGCAAGTGAGGCCAGAGCCTTGCCGGAGCCTAGGCAGGGCGGGGCCTGGGGACGACGACAGTCCGGGGGTGGGACGGGGCTGATATGCTGGGCGCTGGCTGGGGCAGGCGCAGGTGGCCTGTGGTTGCCCCTGAGCCTTGGGTGGTGTCTCCCCACCCCCGCCCCGAGCCTGACCTCCCTCCCCTTTGTCTACAGCAGATCAACCAAGATTTGAACATCCAGCTGCTGAAGGACGGCTACCGGTTAGACGAGATCCCCGACGACGAGGACCTAGACCTCATCCCCCCCAAGTCCGTGAACCCCACCTGCATGTGCTGCCAGGCCACGTCCTCCACCGCCTGCCACATTCAGTAGCGGGCGGGGCCTCCGCGGCCGCCCGGGGCGGAACCGACGCGGGCCAGGTTGGACCCGGCAGGGGCAGACCCCTCCCCGGCTCGTCCGCCTGTCCCCGGCCTCCGCGCCCCCTACAGCCGCCAACCTCGTAACAGTCATTGCTTCCTCCTATGGTAGGACGTGTACCTCTGTGTGTTCATGGAGCCGGAGAAACCAAAACCGGGTCTCTCTCCACCCCGGAGGCTGAGAGGCTGAGAGGAGGGGTGGAGGCTGTTGTTCAGTTACTTGGGGGACCTCACCCAGCACCCTGCCCCCCTCCCCAAGGCTGCAGTCCGGTGAGGGGGAGAGAGGACTGGATGGAAGGGAGGCCAACATTAATGAGAGGGGGGAGGGGTCACAAACCCCAGCGAAGCCATGAAGCCCCCAGCCCCAGCCTGACAAGGAAAGGGGCTGCGGGGTGGGGAGAGAGGCCCAGGGCAGTGGCAGCAGGTCCCAGCACTTCAGAGTCCCCTTCACGCACCCCTTGATGGCCCATGTACCTATTTGCGTTTTTCCTCTCTGATACGAAGCCTGGCAAAGCTGTCCAACCGATATTGCCCCTCACCCAAGGGATCACTGCCTTCTTCCTCCTCTTTGCCCCAATCACCCCCTTCTTGCTCCCTGGGAGTGGGGCGGGGTAAGATGGGCCTCAGAGACAGGCCAGAGTTTGGGGTAGCATGATCTGTCCTCACTGGCTCCTAACCAATGCATCTATCTATCTGCCGCCTCCTCCCCATCCCCACCCCCACTTCTGTTCATTGGTCTCAGTCCCAGGCTGGAAGCAGGGAGCAAGGCCGGCCTCCCATGTCCCATTCCCATCTCACCCCAGCCCAAGATCTGGGAGGCTGGTTCCCAGTAAGAATCGTCAAGGAGCAAGCTTAGGAGAATACAGTGGGCTGAGTGGCTGTGTGGAGACGGGAGGAGGGCTTGGCAGAATGTGCATGTATCTGAGGCTGTCAGGGAGTGCGTGTGTCTGTGTTGGACAGACCTGTCTTTCCTGGGGTCTATTCCTGCCACAGATGTGGGCGTCCCTGTGGGGAAGTGACTGTGTGTCTGTTTACGGTGTGAGCGGCTGCCCAGCAGTGCAATGGACTGAGAGCCTCGGACTGGGAGTCGGAAGCCTGGGTTCTGGTCCTAGCTCTGGCACTCTCCCTGTGAGCTTCAACAGCCACTTGCTTTTTCTCGGCTTCAGTTTCCTCAACTGCAGAATGAACAGCAGCTGAAATTATTTTTAAGGTCGTTTTATACCTGAAGGAATTTCTTCATAGGAACCTCTGTGGAAGGGGATGAGGAGATCTCCGTGTGTCTTTGAGCACACCCAGGGGGCCTCCTGAGTTGTGTGACTGTGTAGAAAGGGGAAGGGGCAGTTTCTATCAGGACTGTGTATGCCTGAGTACATGTGGATCTGTTTGGGAACGTGTGCGTGTCTGTGAATGTGTATGGGTGGGCAGTTCTATTGTGTGCGTAGCTGTGGGGGTGTCTGTGGGTCAGAATGTGTGCACTGCTGCTCCTGCTGCCGTTGCTGGTTTGGGGGCAGGGAGCAGGAAAGCTGAGGATGAAAATCAAGAGGTAGAGCCAGGCCTGGGGGTGTGACCCGTAGCCCCAGCTACTTTGGAGGCTCAGGTGGGAGGATCACTTGAGCCCAGGAGTTCAACGCTATAGTGTGCTATGATTACACCTGTGAATAGCCACTGCACTCCAGCCTGGGCAACACAGTAAAACCCCATCTCTAAAAAGAAAAAGGAAATCAAGAGGGAGGAAGTTAGAATGGCTTAGTCCTTGCATAAAAAAAAAGAGAGGAGGAGGACAAGGTGAACAGCCTCCCCAACTTGAAGCCAGGCAATATAGACCTGCCCCCATGTGAAGGAAAATGAAAGCACAGGTAGCCTAAGACTGCTCAGGCCTATGCTCCACAAACCTCATATCATGGGGCCAAGGTGTATATTCCCCCATTCCTCCAAGGTGACACCCCACACATGCTGGTGTAGCTGCTCTCATGGATACCACTCACATGCTGCAAGCGTGTGATAGGCCCACAGCCCACTCTCTGGACACCAGTCCTGGGAGGTGGGAGCCGGAAGGGGGGTGATGAGAGCAGGGAGTGACGCTGCTGGCTTAGGAAAGGTAGCACCTCCCCCTGTACCACACCCAGGAGCTGCCAACTGCACAGTGTTGCGATGCAGCTCTTCACCCCTACTCCTCCAACCCACTCCTACCTCCCCTACTGCAGGGACTCTAGTTAGATGATGAGAAAATGCCAGAGGCAGGGAAGGACAGAGAAAGTACCTGCAGGGCCCTCAAGGCTCATACTGGCCCCCGTCTGAGCCCATCTCCCACCCTGGCCGGCATCCCCACCCCCTGTCATCTGGGCCCCAGAGCCAGGCCTCCACAATCACCACCACCACCCTGGGCTCCTTGACTTACATGGGCACCCCCTCTTTTTTGGGCTTATTTAGACTGCTGCCTTTGCCACTGACTTGCTGTGTGACTCTGGCCCGTTGTTCAATCTCTGTGGCCCTGAGGAACCAGGGAAAAGCTCCTTCCCCACAGGACACACTAGGTCCCTGGTAGGCAAGGGCTTCGACTGAGGCAGTGTATGTATGTGCGGCAGAGAGGCAGGAAGCTGGCAGCCAAGAATGTGTGGTTCCTTCCTTCCCTAAAAGGCTGGAGGGGAAGAATCAAGGCCTTCGCTTGCCCTCCTGCCACCCTCCCCCTTGTAGATACTGCCTTAACACTCCCTCTACCCTCAGCTGTGGCTGCCGCCCAGCCAGGTTTCTCCGTGCTCACTAATTTATTTCCAGGAAGGTGTGTGGAAGACATGAGCCGTGTATAATATTTTTTTTAACATTTCCATCGCAGTATTGATCATCATCCTTGGTTGTGTATCGTGTAACACAAATAATGATATTAAAAGCATCAAACAAGCCAGCCTCAACTCCCTGCCTGGGGTGTGGGCAAGGGGCAGGTGGGCTGGGAAGAGACAGAACTGGTCCTCTGGATGCACATGTTACATGTTACTCTACCTCCACCCGTGGGTTCCCAGGGGTGCCACTGATCTGCTGCATGACTATGGGTGAGTCACAACCCCCAGCACCTGTGTTTCTCTTCAACAAAGTGAGAAGTATGGCCTTGATCTCCAAAGGCCCTCTGAACTCTTGGAAATTGGGCTCTTTTGATAGGCTTGAGGCAGAAAGGAGCCAGAAGTAGGGAGGAAATTAGATGTCCTCACCTCCCCAGGGATGGGGCTGAGCCAGGTGATATCATAATGGGCAGTGCCCATGCTGGAGGGAGAAGCAGGGTGAGGTTGGAGCAGGAAGCTGTGGGGGAAGGAAGCTGAGGGATCCCCCACAGGAGGGGGTCACAGCAGCTAGGGGCGCCTGCTGGGCTGGAGGTGTGGGCCATCTGGGGAAGGGGTAGGCACTGATGTCCGGCAAGAGCCCTTGGTAGGTAGAGTCCACCAGAGCATCACTGAGACCCCACCATGTTCCTCTTCTCCCATAAGACCAAGACCCCCATCAGTACCTACACCGACTCCTACAGGGCTCCCACCTCCATCAAGGAGGTCTATAAGGACCCACCTCTGTGGGCCTGGGAGGCCAACAAGTTTGTGACCCCGGTAAGTGGAGGCTGGGGGAGGGGCAGACCAGAGTGTATGTATGGCAGTATCTGGATGACTGGCAGTGTGTGGTTATCATTATGTGTTTATAATTATTTATAGCTTTGTGTATGTGTGTGTTTTATTCATTTGCCTAGGCACAGAATTTACAATGCTATATAAAATAGCATAAGATCCTGCCTTCATGGAATTGTATCAGGTTAGGAGGTAGGGAGAGATGGATAATAAACAAGAGGTATACAACATGTCCAAAATGCTGTAAAGGAAATAAACAGGGTAATGGAAATGGACAGGGAGAGGTCAAAGTGACACTGAACTGAGACTGGAAAGAAGGCAGAGAACTAGCCCCGTGAAGAGCTGAAAGTTCCAGACAGAGTGATCAGAAAGTGCAAAGGCCCTGAGGCTGTCTGCGGGATAGGCCAGAAAATGTCCTATAGGCATGTCTGCATGCCTGTGTATCACAATCTCCTTGTTGCCTGTGTGTCTGTGCTTGAAGGTGGCTGGCCGAGTGGGTCTGTGTGACTTTCAAAAAAGGGAGAGGAGATCTCTGAGTCTAATTGTAACTCTGCCTTAGAGAATTTACCTGTGTGTACCATCCAACAAAAACTTTGCTGAGTATCTTCATGTGTAGGCACCCAAGATATAAAAGAGAAGGGCCAGACCCTGGCTTTAAGGAGCTCACAGCGAACAAGTTAACAAAGTAGGGATGCCCAGTGTGCAACAGGCACCAGCACAGTCAAGGGCTGATAGGAGGCCGGGCATGGTGGCTCACCCTGTAATCCTAGCATTCTGGGAGGCCGAGGTGGGAGGATTGCTTGAGCTCAGGGGTTCTCAATACCAGCAAGAACCAGACCCCATCTCTACTAAAAATAGAAAAAATTAGCCGGGCATGGTGGCGCATGCCTGCAGTCCCAGCTACTCTGGAGGCTGAGGCAGGAGGATCGCTTGAGCCCAGGAGTTGAAGGTTGCAGCGACCTATGATGATGCCACTGCACTCTAGCCAGGGCGACAGAGTGAAACTCTGTCTCAAAACAAAAAAGTTGAGGTGCTGATAAGAGAGCCCAAACGGAGAGAGCACTCCCAGAACATGAAGGGCAGGTCTACTGAGGGATCTAGGAGGAGGAGGCTTCCAGCAGAAGAGAATGGTGAGAAAAGGCAGCCTGCAGGCAGGGACCCACCAACAACTGAAACTGCTAGAGCAGAGGGAGGGGTTAGCCCTGTGCTAAGAGAGGAATCTGCAGACCAAGAAGAGCCTCTCAGGCTATGTCGAGGAGCAGGGACATAAGGCTCCAGGTTTTTGAACCTGGGAGTGTCATAGATGAATAGTGAGTTAGGCCACTCTGGTCACAGTGTCAGGAAATTGGAAGGGGTGGGGCTGAGGGCAGGAAGGCCACTGAGGGGTGAAAGATGAAGGGGGAAGATGAGGGTGGGACATTAGGAGAGACTATGGCAGTGAAAAAAGGTATTTGTTGACTAGGAGAGAATTTTTTAAATAATATATTTTGTCTAACTGCAGAATAAATATATGCTCAATTCAGAAAATAAAGATAATTGAGAGAAACATGAAGAAAAAAGGTCCATAATCCCACTACCCAAAATAACCACTGTTATTATTATTATATACCCTTATAGGAAGCAAATATTATTTTTTATAAAAATTACATTACATGGTACTAATACTTGAATCTTGCTTTTTTCACATAGCCATATACCAGGTACATTTTTCTGTGTCAAAAATATTCTACAATATAACTTTAATGACTTTACAGTATTCAATTTTATGAATGTACCATAATGTATGTAAAGGCTCTTATATTATTGGAAATTTAGATTATTTATAAAATTTTGCTAGCATATTCATTATTGTATATATATTTTATCTTATTTATAGTTTCTTATTTATATATTTTAGATATATATTTTATCTTTATACACTAAACATATCTCCAGCTATTCCGCTAGGACAAATTCCTAGACATGACATTATCGAGAGAAAGGATATGCACATTTTTAAAACCTTTGATATAGACCCCAAATTGCTGTAATAAGGGTTGTAATAATTTATACTCCCACAAGCAAAATATAAGAGTACCTACCTGCTTTTCCACAGTCAACAGGAGGGAATTTTAAGCAGTGCATCAACAGATCTTGGTCACCATCTAAACATAAAGAGGGGAGAGATTAGGATGACTCCTGGGGTTTTGGCTCTGGCAACTGGAGGAATGATAGTGTTACCAGCTGAGATTCGGAGTAGCAGATTAGAGATTGAGAGTTCATTGTGGAACAAAAATATTTGAGGACAAATATAGGCGAGTAGTTGGATATACTTATCTGAAGCAAAGGAAAGAGGTCTGGGCTATAGATATACATTTGAAGTCATCATCATGTAAAGGGTAGCTGAAGTCACAGGAGTGGATGAGATTGCCAAAGAAGAAGAAGAAAATGGTCACAGACAGAACTTTGGAGAATATCAATATTTAAGAGTAGGTAAAGGAAGAAGAGCCACAAAAGGAGACAGAGAATTATGGCCAGAGAGATGGGAAGAAAATTAAAGAGAAACCAATAAAGATAGTATTATTAGACAAAGGTCAGTGTTAAATATTGGCGACATAGAAAGGGATCTTTTGGATGTAGTAACTCTTGGTACCTGGCCGGACAGCTTCAGTGAATGAAGAAAAGTGAAAGTCAGATAAGAGTGGGATTTAGAATGAAGGAAAGGCTTCTGCCAGTATGGTGGTCTGGAAACTCTGAAGGGCCCTCCTGCTTCAAAACAACGAAGTCCTGAATAAAAATTAATTTTTATTTTGTTTTGGACTCTCATGGGAGTGAGTGATGTACTTAAGATAGGACTGCCCCGAGGACAAATGCCAATACCAGCACTACAAGCAGGAGTTTAAGCCTTAAGCTAGAGAGGAACTGAATCTATAAACTCCAGACTGAACCAGAAGGTTTCTTATCTCTGGCTCCCTGCCCCTCCCCA